TTCTTTGATTTCCAACTCGTTTATCGTTGGAGCGGGCTAATATTGTGACAGCAGCTTCTAGACACATTACTCTTCATTCTAAACGGTTGGATCGAAGATTGATGGTGTGGAAGCTGGCCATTTTGATAGAAAATGAGGCTATCAGTATTGTAAGTTTTTCTCTAATACTTCTTCTTTAATCTTGTTGTATTTCAGGAATAGATAGTTTTTGATGATATGTATGTTGTAGCCCTTAATTAAATATAAAAAAGAACAGTTGTGAACCCATTATTTATTGATAGTGAAAGTTTTTAGGTGGACTATGGTCCCGTGGTTTTTCCCGCATCAGGTTTTCCATGTAAAAATCTTACTATTGATTTGTGTGATTATTGCTTTATATTTGTTAATTGTTTGATCTTGATTTTGATTGTACAAAGAGAAAAAAAGAACTGAAACTTGTGAATTGTGAATTGATTCAGGTAGATTAATATCCGGTTATTTATTCCTAATTTTTCCAACATATCTGCTATGTTTTCACAATTTGATTGCATATAGCTAAGATGTTGATGTCGCAGCCAATATTACTTTTCTTTTTTATATATATATTTTCAATGTAATTGGCAATTGATGAGATCAACTAGTTGAAGATTTGTACTGAATAGCAATGCTCGAGCTGCCTATATATCTCAATTATGTGCATGTTGATTAACTAATTAATTAATTAATTCTCTTTGGTCTTTCCTTCAAGATCCAATTACATCCCATTTGCAAAATAATCACATGAAAAGAGAGTCGGTCCTTTGGTTTTAATCTTTGATATTTTTAATGTTTTATTATCTTACACAGACATAGTTTTTCTAACCATAGGAAAGAAATTCATGTGTTGTATTAATTATTGCTAGTTTACAGGGAACTAAACACATTGAAGAATAGTAGTAAAAAACTGGGCGGGACAGAACGGAGATTGGCTTGACGTTAATGCAAAGGTACTGATTGATAAGTTGGCAAGAAATTAGATAAGAAAAAACAGAAATTAATATTATATATAATTAGGTGAAAATAACTACAGCCAGATCTCGTCAACAATCCGTTGAAATTAATATATGGATAACAAAAATAATTGGACCCTTCAATCAATAATCTTCTCTTCTGGGATGGATTCACCAAACCTCCATAGGTACTTAAAGCTGGCGTCACACCCACCAATATAGCACTGCCAGCAGGACTTTGAAACACAAAATATAATGACTGCTAGTCCACCATGCATACCCACCTCGGGACCTCTTGCAGATCACTTCATCAGTTTGGATGGAAGATGATGATGAGCATAACTTGTCTCCAAAACAAACAAACCACCACATATAATTTAATCAAATATTATATTCCCATGCATGGTGAGCAAAGAAATCGAGAGAGAATCCTTGGCCACACACACACACTCTAATCAGGATAAAAACGTCAAGGGATAGTTAAGTTTGCTATTTTTTCATTAAAAAAATAGATTTAAATCCTAAAATCTTAGTTGCCATACAAATTGATCTATAAATATTTTTTCTTATTATTGAAAAATAAAAGAAAATCGTGTAAGAATTATTGATATATATTTATATATATACACTGCGGAAGAAGTAGTCTACTTCCTAATCGGATATTTAATCTTTGTTGCAGTAATTCACAAGTTCTCTTAATGTCAGCACTGTGTCCCTTGACGTTGACAAGCATTCCAGATTTTAATGGATGATAGACAAACATAAAAACAAGGAGAGGGTGGTTGCACTGAGTACATCACTTGTGAGTGGTTGCACTAAATACATACTTGTGGCACCAACTACATCACTCGTCGAAGGATGGGGTGGTTGCGCTAAATACATCGCCAGTGGAAGGAGAGGTTAGTTGCACTAAATACATTCATGTAAAAAACCATATCTTGGTAACATCTAAACTTGCTATTGTTTAAGATTTTGTTATTCTACTAAAAAATGATTTTAATTTAGTAATTTAAACTAGTAAATAAAATTTCAAAATATAATTTATATTATTATTTTTTCACGAGCACAGAAGATGTATCACTGCATTCAACATACATAAGATCAGTGTCCCATGAGGATGCATCGAAGAAAATCAACCTACACTGACAACATGTATAACCATGCATCCATGCTTTCATTAATGAGAAGATAATTAAGCTCGACTGATATCATCTTCTTCTTTTTTTTCTTTTTTGATAAAAAAATCGGTGAGTCCTCGTGCCATTAGGCAAATAATGACTGGCGGCGGCGCCGGTCAGGACTTAATATATAGCGTGTGTGTTAATGCAATTCAATCTTCAAAGTGTTCGTCAAGCATATATTTTGACAGAGATGAGAGGGCATGGAAAACTTGAGACGATATTATTGAATTACTAGCAGGTGAGGTGGTCATGCCTACCTGTGCTTTTGATTCTTGTGTGTTTGGAAATTAACCTGTTTTTTTCTTCTTCTTTTTTAAGTGCTTGTAAGAAGTTCATATGTGTTTGCATGGTTGACAGATATGCATGGACAGCATGAGTCGTTATTAGTTATAATTCGGTAGCACAGAAAAGGTTAGGTTAAAATAATTCATAAAGACTCCTTGTACAAACAAAAGTAATCGACACAACGCATGATATATACGAATATCTAACCTAGCGATGTATTTAAGGAATTATTGGAGTTTCTCAAGCTCTAATATTATAATTTTAAATTTCTAAGAAAACCCTGAAATTAGAATTTCTCTGAATAATCAATTCATTTTAATCTCTTCTACAAAATAAATTAGGTAATTCTATTAATTTACACTATTCCTAGACCTAACTCTTAATAGAAACAGGATTTGTTTAACTTATGTCTAGGGGCTTTTTAGACTTTCCATCATGTTTTTTTTAATTATAATCAATTAAGTTGTCCGAGGAGAAATTCAATATTTTATTAAATATAAAATATATTTAAAAAAAAATAATTGGCGCATGAATTTACATCACTCAACCCTTTATAAGGGATGCATGCAGCAGATTAAAGCAGTTAAAAATGGACATCATTGAGGTGGTTGGAATCGTCTCGACAGATTAAAGCAATTAAAGATTAAAGCAGTGTTTTATTTCTAATTTTCTTGTTTTTTATAGCTAATTATTTCTTCTTCTTTTTTTCAATTTATCTACTATCATTATTTTTTTTATCATATTATTAAATTAACTAAACTTAGTAGATTTAATTAAATCAATGACCCAAATCTCAAGTTTTTCTAGATTCTTTAAAAACACTATTATTGCCTAAATATTTTTTATATTAGAAAAAATTTGGTATAGTCTGTTACGTTACACAAACTACTGATTTAATAACTAGTTAAAATAAGACAAATCCTAAACATCAGCTCTTAAGCATAATTTAAATATAAAACAATCTCAACTAGTAGTAACTAACTGACCTACTGACCTACTATAGACCCGGACATGTAAAACGCATTGATAAAATTCTATTATAATCTAATTACTTATATGTCCAATATAAAATCTACATGTAATCATTTTGTATAAAGTCTAATAATTTATCATGATGGAAGTGAAAGCATGACATCATGAACTTTATCGTCTAGAATATCATACAATCAATTTTCATCAATAAAAAGTAAGTATCCTATAAATTCTATAAAATGATAACTAGAAATCTTATTTTATAAAAAATGAACTTTCAACTCTACCATCCATCTAATAATTATTTTCTTTGAAAAATTCTCGTCAAAGAAAGGTATTTCATAAAAATTAGAAACGTGTTTACAAAAAAAATAACTATAAGTTAAGTCTTCAATATTTCGCTTATTTTAAACATCAATGTCTATAAAGATTTGCATGAATAGATTCAAGGTTTGATTCACTTTGAGATAAGTCTCTAAAAAGGTCTCTCATCTCATCATGATCATTGTTAATTTGTGATTTCCCTTAAGTTGATCAAACCAACCAAATCCATATCCATATCCATATGATGGGATGCTCCATGTTACCTTTTGAGCATAGCCTCCGCTCCTTCAATGTGAGGTGGGAAGATGTCGCCGGTATCTTTATCTTGTTCTAATATCAGTTGACATAACATATAGCGAAAGAAAGAACTAGAATATCTCAAACCCTACGAATGCAACCCTAAACTGTAAAGAAAACTTTTAATCGAAAAGTTCGAGATAAATTTCTAAATAATTAATTTGTTTTAAACTTTCCTAGAAAAATAAACTAGTTAACCGTATTTCGTAGATCTAAATTCTTAAAGAAAAAATTATTTTTTTATTGAAAGTTACATAATTAATAGAATCCATTAAGCATAGGATTCTAAATTCGATTAAAAAAGACAAGTAAAACAACTAAGAAGAATAAGCCAAATCTTTGTAAAATCCATTAGTATTAGAACCAAGGAAGGGCTGGGCAATAGCTTGCTATTCCCCATAAGGGAAGTTGACATTTCCTTGAATTATCATGCAAGGCCAGGATTCCATGATTTTTCTGCTACAATTCTGTTAACCACATCTTTCAGTTTGAAACCAAAACTTCGATGCAGACAAGTACCCAATGCAATGCCATTGTATTGAATGCAGCACATCATACACTAGCAGCAACTAAAAGTCGACCTGTCTTGAATTTGTGTCTCTGTTGTCACCAGGGGTGTGTGTGTGTGCGTGTGTGTGATCTCATTCCTTTTCTTTTACATATATTATTTGTTGAATGTATAAGTGAATAATAATAATCTCGTAATGGTTAGAAGTGAGAAAAGGTTAGATGCATGGACTGCGTAGTCGACTTTCAAATACAGTGTTCGTTGCTGACTGTTGTATATTGGCTTCAATGAAATACACGCACACACTTTTATTCCTTTTCTGAATGCAAGCTGGTGGTGATATTCTAGTGTGTGCGCTGAACATGGCAGCCAGATGTGGGCTGTGTTTGCTAGGTGCTGGTTTCCCATTGATCTTTGACAGACGTAGTGTGCCCATAAAAAATTGTGCTATACCAGGCCAAGGGATAGCAGGTTTGTAAGCAAGAACCATTCATAAAAACTGCTTCCATCCTCACTGTTATCAAGAAAGGTCGCGTCATTAACAGGGGGATGCAACCTAATTATGTTAGCAACATTTGGAACCTAACATTAATCCTGTATTGAATTTCCCAGATACAGGCAGATTTTAGGTGCTGTTAGTATTAACATCATCATCGAAGTGGAGTTTTGTCGGGCAGGAAAAGGTAACGGAAACGAGAATCGAAGGGAAGAATGCCACAATTACGTGAGCCAAGAAGGCTTTGTCGCCTTTGTGAAATGCATTGCTCTACAAAGGCAGCCTGATTCGGTGGAAGGTAATGTGATATCCACACTGCCAAATTCGTATCGTCCACAAAGCCTTTAGCAAAGCAATGGAGCATTTTCGGCACCAAAAGCTTCCCCTTGGTGCTAACTCCAGTTGAAGCTCGAATGAAATCATGTTGAGCTTCTTGAAGTTCTTCTCTCACATTCTTAGCAGTGAACACCCTTACCTGCATTTTTCATTCATCAGAATATCTTCCAAATATATCTAAATATACATAATAAACACGACCTCTGAAAGATAAAATATACTTCATCAATATATAGCACATGAAACATTCTTACTGCTGGTGATGAGTACATTCCACAGCTTAGGGCAAATGCTACAAGAGGTTCATGTGCATCAATCACAGACTTCTGCTGTTCCTCTGATAGCCTCAACTTGTGAAGGGCAAGAAGTAAAGCCTGGCAATAGTGTTGAGTAGAAATGTTAACCAGGGTATGAAGTTCAAGATGTGCACAAAAACAGAGAACTTGTTGATAAGAGGGGGGGGGGGGGGCACGTACAATTTGTGGCCTGTGGAGAGGTGGTTTCATCTTCAAAATCACATACTCAATGGCAGCTGCACTAAAATAATGTCCTCCAATAGTGTATGCAGCCTGGAAATATCAACCAAATCGCATCAATGACACTCATCAAGTGCAAAAACCAGTAAACAATCAATCAAACACATGAATCTGCCAGGAACCACTACATCAAGAATGTTACAGATACTAAAGAATCTCACTATGTTTGGTGTGGAGATTTATCTAACTCAATTATTTTTCACGATCCAGATAACTGCATGAATCCATTGCCTTCTAATACCATAACACATGCCTACAACAGCAATTCCCTTCAAGAGCAATAATATATTTTATCCTCTTTGAGTTACAGGAAACCAGAGGCCACTTACAACAACATATTATATAATGCTGACTACTTGGGGCTTTTGAACTGCATATGATGATGACAATAAACTATCTTTACAGCAAGTTACTGAGGAGAAAAAAGTAGATGTTTAGTCAAGAATCAAACCTTTTGCATCAACGAGAAGAGCTTCAAGTCACTCCTTGGGACTCCATATGCCAAGTACGCCTGTTTAACAATAGAAATTTAAGAACATAAACTTTAAAGTTATGAAATGACCCACATCGCACCATGTAATTTTAGCACATTACACAAGTGATAGAAGTGAAGACACTCACATGCATAATCAAAGCATTGTACAGATTGATCCAGAAAGCAAGCTTCTCATTAGAGCTCAAATGGATAGGGTTCACCTTGGCAAGTTGCTCAACAAGTGTTCTGTCCCCCGAGTTTCAAACAAGAAAACAAAACAACATTTATCAGATCTGATCCCAGATAACCACACAAACATTCAAGTAAAAAAAGAATAAATATATCAAAGTAATGGGAGCATAAGCTCATTAGAACCGAAATATTCTATGTTTTTAGACCTGTTTGATTCAACTTACAAAATGAAATGCAAAGCTCAGACAAATGGCTCACTTAAAACTCTTATACCTGAATTTCCTTAATGCCCCCGATGCATATTCTAGTTGCTTCTTTCCAACTGACATCCAAGAAACTTCAGTTGCTAAAACATAGTTTCCAATGTCTGCCCAACTCAATTTGCCATGCACTTTGTAGGGATCAAAGACACTGCCCAATGCCAACACTTCAGAGTTACTTTGTATATCAATCCGGGGGCTCTGCACCCATGATGAAATCATTGAGCGCTCAGATGAAGACCACCATGATGAACTGGACAGATGTCCTCTCGGTGACACAGGTGAGGATTGGCTCTCTAAAGCAGAGGACATGGATGGCACAGCAGAATCTGCCAGGGACAGGAAAATATTTTTCATACATCTTACCATCTCCTCTGAAAGTTGATTAGGGCAGTCCCAAAGGCCCTTAGGAGGCATTCCTTTTGGAAGCCTCATGAGCTCTGCAGGTTGAGTGGGTTTGGCATCTGTCTGCACGGATACTTTCTTCTCCTGGAAAAGCTCTGGTGCCTTCATTGAATCCTGATCCAAGTACCACAAATCAAATGCCTAATACTGTGAATAGGAATTTCTGGAAAGGAGTTATCACAACCATTTACAATAATTCATCTATTGCTATAAGTCATAGACAGGAAAGATTTATTAGATAGAGAGCATATGCATGCAAGAGATAAAATGTAGAATAACCAGCAGTACAACCTTAAATTGTACAAGAATTGTTCAGAAAATGGACTTTTGAGTATGTATAGATTAAAGAGCTTTGACTGTTGAACACCATCTGGACTCAACATTTTGCTTAATGGTTACAAACTGTGACCTTGATCCCTCATTTATGTTTAGACTAAACCATTTTCTTAGTTGGTGCGTGTGCAAATAATTTTAGCTTTTCAAAGTGAGAAAATAACATCCTTCCACCACAGGTGCATCTAAATCATATTACCATATCTCCCAGAATACAAGCTGCATATTCTCACTTAAAGCAAATATCATGTCATGTATGCTTTAAATTCTTCATGGAACAGTTTTGCCTCTTTATCAACAACATACATGGACCAAAACAGTCATCACAGACTCAAACAAGAAAGAAACTGACTACTTAAAGATTCAATTCTACAAGTACACTAGACTACAGCTGTCGCATGAACATAAATCAAAAAGCTCTACAAGCAAAGCGAAACCAGCAGATACCTCCATCAAAGACTGAGCACTAGATGTTTCACCAGTAGATTCAGATGCTTGGTGTTTACATGAGTTATTCTTCTCTGATTGGTGCAGTTCATAATCTGAATGCTTCAGACTCCTTGAAGAAGAAGAAGAAATCTGGAAAAGCATAGAAAGTTACATTGCAGTAAATTTTCTGTGTAAAGGCTAGCATGCCACATGTTAACATAGGTATTTCAAAAGAACATATTTATTTAAGACATGCAATGCTTAGCTAGATCAAAATATATGCAAGTTCCGAAAGTCTTAAATAAAGTACAAATAAAATATACTCATGCAGGCAATGGAAAACTCTAATGACAAGTATAGAGTTCGTTGATAAGAAAAAGATTCATTGCTTCATTGAAGTGAATAAAAGCAGTTGATGTTCATGGGTGCAGGACAATGATAGAATGACTTGATAGCAAATGACCACCACCACTGCAGAGACAGCAATAATAAGAAGTTGTCAAATGTGATTTACATAAAGATGTTTGCATAATGTGAAAGATAAGAAACTTTGGTCAAATAAGGAAGAAGCACATAAATTTCTTTACTCAGGAGAAGCCATGTGTGAAAAGAAATATGATAAGTACCTCTTCTTTCATGCTATCAAATGAGTAAGCAGATAATGATTGACAAGCTGACTGCCTCAAACGATATTCAGCAAGCCTTCGCTCATTTCTCTCTTGACTTAGTTGGAAATGCAAAGAAACAATCTCTTGTTCAAGCTTTGAAACTGTGACCTCCAGTACTGCAATAGTGGACAGAAGCTCCTGAGCTTGTTCAAACTGAAGAAAGAGGATTTTACAATAAATTAAAACCCCTAGAAAGGTGGACCTTCAAATTTACAATAGAGTCAAACATAGATTGGATGTACTAACTACAAAATGATACTGTCACGTATTCTTGATATCTCTTGACATCAAGAATAAACAGGAAACAGAGAGATATTGCTAACAATGAATTCTAAGCACTTAACCACAATTGCTCACCTGACTGCTCAGCAGTGTATGAAAATGCACATATAAAAGAGACTTTAGAAAGAAAACAACATACATTGTGTGGGAGGCATGATGCACTAGATAATTTTACTGTATTTCTCTCAATAGCATTTTCCAGAATAGCATGCATTTCCATCTCTTCTTGCAACTGCTGTTGTAATCTCCGTACCTGTTATAGAGGCACATCCATAAGCATAAGGTAGCTATGATCCAACAACAATTAACTAAATTTCTATGTACACATCAACAAGATTAGATACAATATGATGCAGCAAGATGCTCTCTCAGTTCAATTTAAGTCACCATATGATAGCCAAGCGGCAATTGAAGATAGCAAGCAGATACCAATTCAAAGCATGATGCCTCACTTAGAAGAGTACAGGAAGGATAGTGGCGTGTAAGTACTTTCCATGGACTGCAAAAGAGCTATCTGGAGTGCACTTTTACAGACAACACACTAAATCATTTGCAAAACTCACCCTTCAGACATTCTACACTTCAAACTCAACATAAAGCAAAATATCAGTCCTACAGGGCCACTACAAATTTCTTTTATTCACCGATACTTTCCTTGTCATTAAGGCAGAACTTAAATGTCATCAACTGTTATTTCTCAAAAACCATCAATGCAGTTGTGGAATCAACCCCCTACCTTTTTAAAAAAGCACCGGTTTTGAAGTCGTAAGCATCCTCTAAGCATATTTAGCACAAACATCACAAGTCATGTTCCACAACCTAATAATACAGACAAAAGTTCAGCATGAAATGCCTATAGCGAAGCCTCTAGTAAACTGTTGGAACCGTGAGATACTATCCGGATGAATCACAACAAGTGTGTTTTTCTCAGCCAATTAGAAGCCCATTACCAGCTATGTTTCCACTTAAGGGGTCATGAGAGGGTCAATTTCTACTTTGGAGGCGGTAAAATTCTTCAATGGTTTCTATTAAGTGTCTACTCTCAAGACATGAACCTGCAACTTTTTGGTTGAAAGCCCAAGATTATTATCACTGCATCAGGAAACAATGAAGCACGGGGAAAATTGGAGTATAAAAGCACTATTTGCAGCAATAATGAAAAAGCCCCTTGCTTTAGGTGCTGGGGAGCATGGAACTGGCTTAACTCAAGGTCATTCAAATATCTAGTTTTATGCCATCAATCAAAGGCATACAAACACAGATAGTGCTCTTTTGTGCATTTTCCGATGCATCCTATTTTATAGCTGTGCTTGTCATCAATTATTGACTACCAGCTCAAAAGAATCTCAACTTGTTTTCTATAACAAAAGCATTTCAGATCTATTGTCAACACTCTATGCATATCAAAATCCCTAGGTTTCACAAACAAATGCATAAGAAGAACTCAACAAAAAAACAGTGTGACTGTGAGACTTGCAGGAGGAGAGATCTTACATCCCGTTCAAGTTGGATTCTATAAGGATAAGGATTGCTGCTTCTAATGCACGATGCAAAACTTCCAGCCTCTTCATTCACATTGTTTGCCTGCAAAACATCAAAATCCACATGAATTGCATTTTTGAACTATAAAAACAGATTAAATGAAAGAGCAAGAAAATAGTACCTCCAAAAGTGTCAAGAAGATGAAACATAACTATCAAATTAAAGACCAATTACTATAAAGCCGAGTGTTGTGCTACAAAGGCTTATGCCTTTGGATCCAAGACAAATAATTTACAGGAACTTCCAGTCAAAGCTACCCTTTTCAGATTTAATAAAGCTGTCATAGTTTAAAGGTCTACATACAAATGACAAATTAAGTGCTTCTGTTGACAACTACAGTAAAAATTGAAGAAATTCATATTAAAAAAAGGCACCAAATGAGCTGAATTATGAGAGCAAAATTGAGCAACCAATCCTCCCCAGAAATGGATAAGTTAAAGTGCATTTTTTGTTCAACATTTTGTTGTTATAGAACCCAATCCTTCTTGCAATGCCTCCCACCACCCCGAGTGAAAATGAAAAGTCAGCCAGTACTGACCTCCAATGAAGAGCTGTTGCTCCAGACTTCATCTGCAAGATCTAGCTGGGTTTTTGAATTGTCATAGGTCACCTTAGAATGCAGAACTTTAGAGGTAGAATCACTTCTGCACATTTTGCCAGTAAAAAGTTGAAGAAAGCATTAGAAGTGAGCATTAAAGCAGGGTTCCAATTATAACCGGAGAAATGAACCAGGCATCGGGGGGGGGCTTACTGGCTGGGCATAACTGGAGAGTCACACGTCCTGCGATCACAGGGCTTGGCACGTTCTAAAATCCCCCAAGCATCTTGGCTTCTGCACGCAGATAGGATTTACGCCATGTTCAAACAAGTATAATAAAGCTTACAGATCCATGCTAAGAGAAAGGACTTGAACATTAAAGAGGTAACCTAAGAAAGGGTTTTAGTCAACATGAACAATCTTAGGATAATATAAAAGACAAAGGCACAATGAGATGCATAATTAGAGAAAAAACTGTGCAACCTGTGAAGTGTGAACATGTAATGAGGACAAAAAAATTTCATGAATGCCACAGCTACTAGTCATTGTCAACACAACCAAACAAAAACAATTAACACAAGTGTGAGCTCGGGCAGCTTCTGTTTCTAGCGACAGACCATACCGATACAACTTGAAAAGGAAGGCCATAAAAAGAGAAAGGGGGGGGAAGAGCAAGTAGAATCGCTTGTGTGGGTGGTGAGTTTCTTTTACCAAACCAATTGCATTGTTTTCACCACATGAAAATCAGGGCAGAAGAAAAAAGCAGTGGATTCTGTAAATCATGACCATATGAATGATGGCTCCAAAAAGAGAAACGAAAATCTAACAAGTCAAAGTAAAGGGCTTAAGAAAAGCAAAAACAGCTCCACAAGGAGGAAAAGTAGAGGGGAAAGTGGGGTACCTCCCTAACAGTCATGGAAGACAAAAGTTGTTTCCTTTGTTAGTAAGAACTACGGCAGTCCACAAACCACACACCCTTGAAAGGTTTTCAAATGAAGCTGATCCACTCTTTGTTTCATTCCAATTCTTAATCGAAAAAGAAATTAGTGATGGGTCATAGGTCATGGGCCAAAAACATTGGGATTTGTATTTAAAAGAGAAAAGGAGAGGAGAGGGGGGCAAGAAGCAGCAATGGATTGACTAATGGAGTAAAGGGGGTTTTGGTATGCAAGAGTTACAATCCATAGGACAATGAGGAAGTGAAAAAATGAAGCAAAAGAACAATCTCAAATACGGGTTATTAGCAGTGGTCCCTCTCTCCCTGTCTCTCCTTTCCAATTTTCAAACAAAGCAGGTATTTTTCTCTCTTCCTACCTCCTGACCGAGTCCATCAACATTTCAAACTCGACCCAAAAAACAAACAGAAGAAAACAACAGGAAAGATACCCATTTTCAGATTTCAAATATCCCAAACAAAGAGAGATATGCATGCAGGAATGTAATTCAAAATGGTATGGAGCAGACAAATTATAATAGAGAGAGAGAGAGAGAGAGAAACCTTGAAGGATGGAGCATTGACAATGATGATGATGATGATTAAGAGGCGCTGAAAGACCCCATTTTCTTTTCTTGAAAAGCAAAAGATTAAGTCCAAGCCAAACTTAGAAATGCTTGTATTACTAGTATCTGTGCCTCCTCTCTTGAGTTGAGAAGAAAGTCAGAAACTTGAAAAGGACATGTCGTAGAAGCAGTATCAGTCCAACACTACTAGCAGCAGCGGCGGCAGTGCCTCTCTCTTTTCTTCTGGCTGAAAGGATGATTCAAAAATCTTCGCTTTCTTTCACTAAAATACGGGAACAAAGACAAAAGGAAGACAAAGATACAGCTGAGCTCCTAGCCATTAGCCAAGCAAGGAAACAATTTATTTTTTTCCAAGAATCAAGAGAGAGAGGGGGAGGGAGGGAGAATCTAGTTCAAAAATTACGAAAATAAATGTTTTGGTTAAGATATATTATTTATTTAATTTGATTATGCTATAAGAGAACAAAAGAGTGGGTGTGGAGTCACGAGGCTCTGTGTCTGTTCCTACGTACAGTTTACAGATGATGTCAATTAATGTAATGAAGTCAAGTAATTAATTATTTAATTATTCTTTTGAATTTTGAATTTAACAATTCTTCCATAGAAATGTATTTTTTTTAATATCTTTGATCCATTAAGTAAGTCGATTAAATTTATTTATTTTTGGTATGGTTTTAAAAACGCCAATGATGCATTAAAGAGATTTAATAGTTTCTTTTAAATGTCTAATTTAAGGTTTTAATGACACAAGTAAAAAAAAAAAAAAGAATCTGATCTCCTTTCTGCCAAGTCAAGTCCTTAAATTTTCTCAAATAAAAATGTTGTTTTGCTATAGGATTAAGGTAAGAGAGAATTAAGTATAGCACTAATAATAATAATAATGATTAATTTAAATAAATATAATTTATCAATAATATAATTAACTTATGGAAAGTAAAAAAAGCTAATGGATAAAAATATAAATTTTAATGTAATTTGATAAATTTATATTCATACTTTAAGTACCAAAATATATTTAAATATTATGTTTTTTATTAATACAAACTCAAATATACAATATCATTTAGTAAATTTATATCAAATTTTTTTCACCACTTAAAAAAAAAAATATAACCTCACCTAATAAGTTAGGCTGGACTCATTTCAGATAGTTGGGTCAAGTCCAGCCCAATATATTTTTAATAATAATAATTAAAAAAATTAAAATTATCAAATAAAATTTTAAAAATATTTGTGATCTCTTTCATATTTTTTTAATAATTTTATATAATATTAGATTATAAATTTACACTATAAAATACAAATTTGATATTAAAAATATTTAATTTTCTTTAAAACTTAAAAAAATTCAAAATTTTCAATAAAAAAATTCAAAAATAAATAAATAAATTCCCATTTAAAAAAATATATTATATCTTTGTGCATGCTGTCAAATCTTAAAAGTTTTTCATCTATATTTTTGTTTCATATTTTTAAAAAATATAAAATAAATATCATAACCAATTTATTATTATTCATCAAAGTTTTATCAGATCTGGGAATGTTCAGCATCTCAGTGTCCAAATCAGATCCAGGATCCCTGGTCCGACCATCAGAAACTTTTCCAGAATTCATGGTGTTACAGGTGCTTCTTCTATTGCCTAGAATATCGAAGGAATCTGCAGGACCTTCATCTTCATGCAGCAAATCAGCACGGGAAGTTCCAAAGGATCTGTCTTTCAGTTGATTGGAACTAATTTCTACATCAATGGCATCTGAGCTAGAAGAAGTCACTATAGATTCCTTTCCATTTGGTAAACGTCCAAGGAAGGTTTCAACAAGTAAGGGTTTATTAGCAGATATTTCGGCACCTGCAGACCCTATCTCATGAAGAGTTGGGGACATAGGCATTTCCATTGCTCTCCTGGAACACTCCTCGTCTGCAGAGTTATCCAATTAAGTCCAGCAATTTCATGCAATCCCCCTTGGCTACTTCCTCGGAACTTACCATATCTTCGGGGCTACTTTCAAAAGAATCACTCAAATCTCTCTTCGAGATTTTACCTTGGTGATGTCCGTCGTCAATAATTAAGAATTTCTCATATTTTTAATATATACTCCCACGGATTTACAATTATATGATTTTTGTTTACAACTAAAGACACTCTCTCTTGAAATGGATAATACAATTAAATTTTATATAATTATAACTCATTTAATAGCATATAGGATATTTAAAAGTATTTCAAGTATAAGTGAATGTGAGAATAAATACTGTAGTATTAGAATATAAAAGGTTTACATTATTTTAGAGTGTGTTTGAGAATATGGTACAAATCACGTCCCTTTAAATTTTTAATTTTTTTTTCTTAAAATGATTTTTTTACATATATTTTAAAACTGTATTTGATTTGTTGATATAAAAAATAATTTTTAAAATAAAAAAATTAATTTAATATATTTTTAAGCAAAAAACACCTTAAGTTGCTATTATTAATGTAATCTTAAACACACTAAGTATATTAGTATTGTTTTTTAATTCAAATAATTTCTATCACAACTTAGTGTTTAAGAGTCATGTAGGATACATTTCCCTTTCTATTTTAGCAATAATAAGAGTTATTTATAAGTATTCAAAATAAACTAGTTATTTTTAGTTATTTATTCATTTTTGATGAATAAATAGTCAATTGATTTCCATAAATTTTAATATTTGATATATTTTTATTTAGAGAATTGTTAGACTGATATCAATTTTATTGATGTATGCATAATGAAGTGTTTAAGTTAATTTTAATTATATTATCAAATAAGATATAAAAATTTATATAAACAGTAAAATAAAAATTTATATAAATTTTAAATCTTCACTTACTTTGTATCATGATATTTTCATTAGTTTCTTTATAAAATTCTTTATATTTATTACCAGTTTAAGACTTTATTCTAAACAAGCATATTATTAATATAATTTTTTATTTTAGTGTTATTATTAAGATATATAAAGATATAAATATGTGACCTATAAAGTTAATAAAATTAGATGTAATATTTATATTAACTCATATCACTCCATGATAATAAGAAGTTGTGCACTATATCACTTGAATGTAAATAGCATTGTTTTAAAATTTGATATAACAAATTCATTCATGATTTGAAGCCGAAGCCTAATATGACCTAATATGATTTAATTGAAACTTAAATTAATCTATAACTTATCTAGTTTAAAAAAATTAGTCATAACAAGATCATTTTTATTTTTTTAAATAATATAAAATAAAAAAACGAAGTCAACATACTTTTTTATATAAGAATTAACTGTTGTTCTGAGTTGAAAAACTATGATTTAAAGTTTAGAAGAAGGGATGAAATGTAATGATCAAAGAGACGTGGTTTATATATAAATAACTTGCTTTGGGTGAGGAGAATCGCTTGGTGAGTGTTGAATATATTTTTTTAAGCTGATTTTATTTAGGAGATATAGAGGTTTTAGCTGTTGTATATAGGTTGATTAACTGTTGATGTGTTTTAGATATTTTTTTAATGATTTTAATTTATTAATATTAAAAAAATAATTAAAAAATACAATGCATTACCGACTTAGCTTGTACAGAGAGGAAAGAGATCCACGAGAAGAAGGCTTGTGTTGAATTTATTTGGAGGCCGAATTTAGGACAAATTGGTTAGTTTTTGTTTTGTCTTCGGACATTGTCCTCAATTTATGGTTGCAGATATCTAATTTAAGAAATAAAAATATGGGAATTAAGATGGACCGAGAAGCCCAAGTCAGATAAGAAATTGGGCTGGTATGGGCTGAGATGGGCTGGGTTGCTGGACTTAGGACTTGAGTTATATGATGATGGGTCAAAATTAAATTGAGGGAATCCAAACAAATCCAAACATTGGAGTCCTCCGCATATTATTGCGTTAGCATATTTGCTAGGGTTTAAACAAAAGCAGTCAGAGGAGGAAGTGAAGGAGGAGGTGGAGATGGAGATGATGACCCCAGAGGAGTTAGAGCGTAAAAAGAAGAAAGAAGAAAAAGCCAAGGAGAAGGAGCTCAAGAAACTTAAGGCTGCAGAGAAAGCTGCCAAATTCAAACAACAACAACAACAACAACAAAGTGATTCTTCTTCTGCTTCCAAAAAGAAGAAGAATTCGTCTAGGCGAGATGCCTCTGCCGCCGATGACAATCCTCTTGATTATGAAGATCCACCCACCCCTTTTGGTCAAAAGAAGCTGCTTTCCTCTCAAATGGCTAAACAGTACAATCCCACTATTGTTGAGAAATCGTAATATCTTTCTCTTTTCTTATCATTTTTATGCTCCTTGATGATTTCTCAAGGTAATTGTTTTCTTTCTTTCTTCCTTTCAATCAACCCGAAAAACAAAGATGGTATGCCTGGTGGGAAAAGTCTGGATATTTTGTAGCTGACGCTAACAGCTCCAAACCCCCTTTCGCTATTGTAAGCTAACCTTTCTTTTTTCATCATCATCGTTATCGTTTTATTGGTTTGTAGGCAATTTTATTATGAACTTTGATTTCTTTTCTCTGCAGGTGCTTCCCCCGCCAAATGTCACTGGAGCTCTTCATATTGGCCATGCCCTTACTGCTGCCATTGAGGTCTGCTACCACCTTTCTTCTTTCTTTTGTTTCCATTTTTTTTCACTGTACTTCTTGTTAACAACTCTGGTTCTTGTTGTTTACAGGATACTATCATTCGTTTCAAGAGGATGTCAGGGTTTAATGCCTTGTGGGTCCCCGGTGTGGACCATGCTGGGATAGCCACGCAGGTTATTCTCTCTCAATTTTCTTTCCTTGTTTGTTTATTTTATATGTGTGCTCATTGTTGATATGCTTGTATGATCGACACAAATATGACCTTACTTGTTCGAATGAAGATT